AAATTTTTTTTTTTTTTTTTTTTTTTGAGTCGGAGCCTTACTCTGGAGTACAGTGGCACTCTCACGGCCACCACAGCCTTGATCTGCTGGATTTAGGCAATCCTTTCACCTTAGCCTTCCAAGTAACTGGAACCATGGGCACGCACCACCATGCCTAGCTGATTTTTTGATTTATTGTAGAGATGAGGTCTCACCATGTTGCTCACACTGATCTTAAACCCCTGAGCTCAGGCAGTTCTCTGGTCTCTGCCTCCCAAAGTGCTGTAATTACAGGCGTGAGCCAGCACCCAGCTATTATTTTATTTTATTTTTAATGGGGGATTTTAGGGAGAATGGAAGAGTGTAGAATGTAACGCTAAAAAGGAATTTTATTAGTACGTGAAGACATAAGAAACAGACTTGGAAGGTTCACCTAAGATTTTATAGATGTTTATTTTGTGGCAGAGCTGAAGCTGGAATCCAGATTGTCTCTTTTGTGGTTAGTTCAACTGAGGGGACTATTAAGAGAAGCTGGTAATTTAGATGAACCTTGCTTGATAGATAGATGAAAGAGGTGAGAGGTTAACAACCATCCAGATGGTTCTGTTCATTCAAGAGATAAAAGAATTAAAAAGTCATTTTTATAAGAAATAGATACTATTAATTTAGAATTTATGAGATGATTCACAATAGACTGGGAGTGGGGAAATAATTGGAATTATGTAGACCACATAAATTTTTCTATAAAATATCAGCTTAAAACAGATTCTGTCATACATTGTCATTTGAATGAATAAGTACACCTATGTCAACATTGATCAAATGTTATTATATGTCTGCTTTGTACTAGGCACTGTGGGAGCTCTAAAGACAAAAGATAATCTCAATCTTTAAAGACTATAGTATATTTGAGAAGACTACATATACACACAAATATAACAGTAACTCATATTAGGCATCATGTAGTAAGCACCATACAGATGGCACTGACAGTATATGCTAGGGTAATTTAAAAGGAGAAAATTCTGGTAGGATCTTGAAGAATTAGTAAGAGTTAGGTAACAGGAAATTGAACAGTATTTTAGGGATAGTGGTTGGGCATTTCAGATATGGAATCAGAAATATATAAGGCATAATGGGGTATTAGGAGTCGAATAATTCATTTACACTGGTAAGACAGCAATAATTAGGCTGATACTCACTAGTACAGAATTTTGAAAGTCAGGCTAGAAATTCAAGTTAGTGCTCTAAGGAATATAGAAGTGAGAAAAGTTTTCACATAAGTAAATGCTGATGGAATCTATACTCGGGCACCTGAATTGCCTGGGGAAAGGATAGAGGGAAAGCAGGCATACCAATTATTAGTTAAGAGGCAGCTATGGGCATGTGGCAACAACTAGTCTTAAATCCTTTCTCATTTAGTAATTATAGAAATACTAAGAAAAATTTAAAAACAAATTGGATTTTTAACACTCTTGACTCTTAATTGGTATTCTAAATTTTCTCCTTAATTCTTAGGTTCTTATTTTACCTTGATGAGATTTTCCTCCTGAAGTGATTCACTGATAATGTATTACTCTGATGCTATCAAATATTTGATAAACCTAAAATTCAATTAACCTGGTTTTCTATATTCTCTTCATTGTGTCTTATTCTTGTGGTCACTAGCTTCTGGTTTTCTTGTATCTTTGGCATAATGTACAGGGAAATCTTTTGTCATAGACTCTTCCATCAAGAATCTATAAATTGCTTAAGTTCCTCAGTTCTTCCTGGGGAAATAATTTTATCCCTTTACTCTGGAAAGTATTTTTTTAATTACAGATTTATATGGTATGTAGCCACATAAAAAGCTGCCTTGATAAAAAGGTGTTTAATAATAAGTGGTTACTCACTTATCTGCACCTTGAAGGAATTGTCTCTTGTCAGAATTCTTCATATACTACTTAATGTTTTTACTCTTTTCAGTATAAATTGAGGTATAATTCACATGCCAAACGATTCACCCTCAGTGCATTTTTATAAATTGTTAGTCTGATTACAAAAGTAAAATATATTATGTTCTATGCTAATTCATTGGCCAAGCTAGAAAGTTCTCTTGGGTGCTTTGTTTATTGCTTTCCTGTTTATCTTGTCCTTTTTTTTTTTTTTTTTTTTTTTACCTTTGTGGACTGATTTCAGGTGATATTTGCATAAACTCGGTAAAGATCACCCTAAATTTTTTAGATGCCACTTTAGGCTCATTTTGTGTGTGTATTTACAGTGGTAGACACTGTCTCTCTAAGAGTGAGGCAGCTGGAAGGGAAATCCTGATTTTATATAATGTAGTTCCTTAACCTGATAAACTGCCACTCTTTAGTGCTGTTTTTGCAAGTTTAAAAAATTCAGCAAATCTGGTCCACGTTTTTATCTTCATCCAAAGTGTGTGAGCATTCCTGTTGCATTAATCAGACTAGTTTATTATTTGCTTCCTAAATAACCTGTTTCTTGTATGGCTTATAGAGCATTTTGTTCAGATTTCATTCTGTAAAGCACTTAGAGCAGGTGATGCACCAGACAAATATCTATTACTTCTTCATTTACTAAATAGAACAAGGAGAAAGATTGCATCTAAATATGTAATGGTCAGTCTTTAATGATCAGTGAGCTTTCAGAACTGATCAACGCTGTCAGCAATTAGAAACCACTATTTACAAAATATCTTCTGATTTTTTTTGGCAGGGGGTGAGTTGGAATTCTTGGGTTACAAGCAGCGGAAACCTTTAACTGGCTTTAACAGTGCATTTGGAAATGCATATAAAAATTTCTAAAAGGATACTGGAATTCAAAGGCAGAGATACAGTAAATATTTGAATGAAGGAAATAATGCATTGCATGTATAACCTTGGAAAAGTTACTTAGTCTCTCTGGGCTTCATTTTTTCCCCTTCATCTATAAAAAAGGAGTTTTGACTAAATTAACCAAGTCTCTAGTTCTCAAATTATTGCATTAAAAGTTAGATACTGTTATTTTAGATAATCAACCGTTTTGTAAACACCAGTGCAAACTTGAAAAAAAAAAAAATTAGGTAGCACTTCTGGGTTTTAAGGTAGTTTGTGTGTGTATTTACAGTAGTAGACACTGTCTCTCTAGGAGTGAGGCAGCTGGAAGGGAAATCCTGATCAGTTAGGCTTATAGATTATCTAGATTATTTTTGTAAAATGAAGGCAATATTAAATGTTTATTTTTATTTGCTTTTTTGGTGTAAAGAAAATATTTAAAATTTTCTTACCGAAAAAGCAAGTATGGCAGAATAATATTGGATGATTCTAGGTAAAGGCTTTATATAAGATCTTTATACTATTCTTACAACTTTTCTGTAAACTTGAAATTATATCACATTAGTAATATGAATTCAGAAAAACCCAACATGCTTGTTGGAAAGAATAAAAAATATAACAGTGATAAAAGATAGGTGGATGTAACGGTAAGGTATCTGGAGATACTCATAAGTTCATTTAAGTATAGAAATTTGTCTCTCTTTACAGAATATACTTTTAAGGGATTTCATCATTTATAAATATTTCATTCTAAATGGAAATAAAACATTCACTGTAAAGAAAAGCTGATGAATTTCTCACTGGTTTTTTTTTTTAATTTTCTTAACTTGAGATCTGCCAATATATGAACTATTTCATGCTCTCAGATATAAATCCATGCTGCTCCTTTGGGTTGATAGTGGTGGTTGATAGACATTTTGGTTTTTTGGTTTTTTTTTCCCTCGACTGACAAATCTGGCACCTCAGGTTTTACTCTACTAACTTAATTATTGAGCCTGCTTCGTCTGTATAAAGCATTACATTCATTGCTTTATGTATTTATGTGTTCCTAATCTAGAACGTGCCTAACAGCATTCCCTGAATTTGTCAGCAATACTGTTGATATGGTGGTACTATCTCCTTTATTTCTGTGTATATGCACTCTGATGGCATTTTCCCTTTTTTTGCTGAGGCAACATATATTTGAGAATGAGTTGTTCACAGATTTTAATGGAGAAGATTGGATGCTTAATTTAAAGAGTAATAATAGGCTGGGTGCTGTGGCTCAAGTCTATAATCCCAGGACTTTGGAAGGCCGAGGCGAGAGGATTGCCTGAGCCCACAGGTTCAAGAACAGCCTGGGTAATACGGTGGGACCTTGTCTCTACAATAAATCAAAAAATTAGCTGGGCATGGTAGCGCGTGCCTGTAGTTCCAGCTATTTGGAAGTCTGAGGCAGAAGGATAATGCTGGGGTGGCCGTGAGTGTGCCACTGCACTCCAGTCTAGGCAACAGAGTAAGACTCCAACTCAAAAAAGAAAGAAAGAGTAATAATAAGTATATTTTCTGTCCATATTGTTGAAAATTAGCTTCCCCATCTTTGCTTTTGTTTGCAAAGAAGATTCAGTTTACAGTCAGGGATCTAAGAGTTTAGACTGCATTGCTCTTACTGTGATTGAGCAAACAAGTTTGCCTGGCTAAGGGCTATGTGGGAATAAGAACCAGAGTTCCCTTCACTCATGGCTTGGAATTCTTTTTAAACTTCCTCTGCCCCAAATTGAAAGTCCCTAGTTCAGATAAGAACTGTTTTCATTTCACTGTTTATACAAGTAATGATACCAAAGAGAGGGTCAAATCAGTGTCAGAGCTCAAGATATGCTGAATGTAAAAAGGTATTTGTTGTTCATCAATAATCCAAATCTATAAAGGTTAATATCCTTTGGAAAAAAAGTTTATGAGGCTGCATTATTGGCGAATATATAGTTTAATAGCCTAAGGATTTGTTAGAGGGAGAGATAACTGAAATATGTGAAATTTGTAAAAAAACAAAAAAAAAACCCAAAAACCTCCATGTACCCACCATCCAGGTACCACCATAGTCATTAATAATTTGTGACTGAGCTTGAGAAAAATCTGCTATTTTGGTAATAATTTTTAGATTTTGTCTAACTGAAAAATAAATCTAGGTGTATTCTAAACCACTTAATGGAACTTATTTTTCTTCAGTGTTTCCTGAGGTTATAGGCGGGTGTTTGAGGAGTACATGCGGGTTATTAGCCAGCGGTACCCAGACATCCGCATTGAAGGAGAGAATTACCTCCCCCAACCAATATATAGGTAAGTAAATTTCAGTAACTTAAAAGGAAAATTATTTATTTGACTTCATAACTTTTGTTAGTTGGCTTAATTAATTTTCTTGGTCACTGTAATTTCTTAGTTGATTATAAGCATATGCAGAGAGCACTGCTGTATAAAAAGCAACTTTATTTGACCCAAATATAGAAGACTCTTTCTATAAGAAGGAATAGGGTCATTTCAGAGAGGGCAACAACCCTTCTGTAGATGTGTTTTCTAGTATTTTTTTTATTTGTGGAAATAGACCAAGAATCCTAAATTTGTATAGAAAGTCAATGGTGTTAAGATAATAGTATCATATCCTTAAAGGCCAATTCTGTATAATTTTGTAAGTTAATTTTTTTGATTTAAAAGGTAGTAAACATTTTTGTTTTAAAACTGCACAATAAACTGTAATTGCTATCTTATTCTATAATTTGTAATTTTTTGGATTAGATTTGATGTCTAGAAAATATACATACATTTGAATTATCAAATTTTAAAGTAAATAAGCTTCTGATGGATTTATTTCTTTTCTTTTGATAGACACATAGCATCTTTTCTGTCAGTCTTCAAACTAGTATTAATAGGCTTAATAATTGTTGGCAAGGATCCTTTTGCTTTCTTTGGCATGCAAGCTCCTAGCATCTGGCAGTGGGGCCAAGAAAATAAGGTATGTTGCTTAACAGCTTTGATAACTTTAGGTTTGTAGGATGTCAGTGGAAAGATTTTTAATGATTTTTGGGGAGGGGGGTGTGTACTTGTTACTGATTCACTTGTTAACATGTATTACTTCAATTTCAGTTTACCTACTTTTCTCTCTGGGCAAGTCACTTTGACCTTCCTGGCCTGTTTCATATTGAAATGTCAAATATGATTAGGTCTTACCTTTTATTTTGGGGAGGATAGCAAGGTGTTACTTTAGTAGAACATGGGCCGAAATAATTTATTACCTGATTTTGATTATATTACTTACATCAAATACTACCCAGCAAAACATATGTAATGTGGGTCTTTTATACCAACTAATATTGTATTTGTGGATTGATCTACATTTATTGAGGATTTTCATTAATTTGTTCTTATCAAAACTTTCTCTTTTAATTTTTTTTTTTTTTTTTTTGTCTCATGTTTGTGGGGATCTGTTTTGCAAATTGCCTGAAAGAATCTGTATAAATGTTGTGCTATTTATCTTTTCTTTGAAGGGTCATGCTGCAACATACATTCTTTCTAGACTGCTCTTATTTTCCTTAAAGTAATTTTTTCTGGAGGGCCTATCATTCTGTCATAAGTGGTTCTAATTTTGATTTCTCCCTTGGATGGGATTTCTTAGGCTTCCTTCTATGAAGAATTCTTTTTTTAGAGCCTTTTATCTGGTCTTGTTCTTTAGTTCTAGACTAAATATCTTTAGTAGACTTCTACATAGCTGTACTTCTTTTTCTTAGGGAACCACTTATTTCCAATAATGGGCAAAACTTCTTAACATAAATGTCCTTAGGTGCTACATCTAACTGAAGTATATTTCTACCCTGTTAGTAACAAAATGTTGATTTGTAAGGGGTTAAGAATTGGAAGCTGAATACTTATTGATAATGTTTTGTGATTATATTTATTAATTGATTTCATATTGTCTTTAGTGCATTTTACTTTAGTAGACTTATGTGCACCATCGTTGATCTACTGTGGAAGAGGAATGTACTTGAAAGCTGTAGATTTTATGATATTTTCTTGTGTATTGTTCCCATGGCAATAGACTTATGTTCCCAAATGGTAGGGCAGTTCTTAGGAAATCAAGCCCCACCTAGCTCCTGTGTGGCAGGAAAGGAAGCTTTTTCTCATCTGCTGTGGACATTTGATTGATTTATTTTTCTAAAACAGCTTGCTATGAGTTGGCATCCTTACTACACTTGACTTTCTGTTCAGTGATTTTGTTAAATTAAAACTTATCTATCCAACAAGGAATATCTATCCTATTCTGGGAGCATATAGATTTGCTTTCAAAACGTAAATGGAAGTACATCCGTATGCCAGTACTCTCTCTAACCTCCTTCTTCCTTAGTTTGACTTTAAATGATTTGAAACATAAACAGGTCGGATTGAATACATGGAATTGCTAATTATTGCATCACTATTCTCTTGTGAATTCACATATTATGAAAATGATAAAGTGAACCATTCTCATGCTCCTATTCTTTTATTTACCCTGTTGGGATTATTATGATATCTCCTAGAAATTCTGTGTACATTATGAATATCATATATAAGTGCTTCAGCTTGTATAGAGCTGTGAATTAATATTGCATTTTTCTTGCTCTATGTTTGTATAATAATAGTTTGTATGGGAACTTTTAAAGTAGATTAAAAAGGGGATTTATCAAAGTAAGAATGAGACTATACATTTGTTAAAAATTAATGTGTCTTAAGATATCAAATTTTTTTGGCTTCAGAGTGACTTTGCCTATTGTGCTTAATTATATTTTCTTTTAGGTCTATGCATGTATGATGGTTTTCTTCTTGAGCAACATGATTGAGAATCAATGTATGTCAACAGGTGCATTTGAGATAACGTTAAATGGTAGGTTCTGAATAGTTTGCATTTTGTGACAAAGTGTATGTGATTTATAATGAGCATCAAGCTTTACTGATTTTCATAACAATAGATGTTTATGTGAAAGAAATGGAAAATTCAGGAAATAGAATTAAGAAAATGTCAACTTATTATCTGTCCTTAACTCTACTTGAACTTTACACATTTTTGAATTTCTTGAAGAGTTGGTCCTCTTCTTATGTCAGATTGTTTCTGTGGTCCTCATCTACTCCCAAAGCTTTAAAACAACATCTGTATGATGACCCCTGAATGTGTATCTCTTGACCTCTCTTCTAAAGTGCTGTTCGCAGGAATCTTAAACATAAACTCTCCAAGATAAACTCTTAAAAACTGCTTTGCATGATTCTTGTACACTCATAATTTGCTCCTGGCATTTCTTGTTTAGTAATGGCACCATCATTTGTCTACACAGTTGCCCATGTCTGAAACCTAGGATAGCATCACTTCTCCCTTACTCCCTATATTTAATGGATTGCCAAGAGTTCCACTGCCTAGAGTTTCAGAAATCTTCTGCTCACCTACACTGCTGTCATCCTAGTCCAGGCCATAATTACCTTGTTTACCCTCTTATCTATTCTCCAAACCAGGGGTTGCCAAATATGGCTCATGAGCTAACAATGGTCTTTACATTTTTAAATGGCTAAAAAAAAAAAATCGAAGGAATATTTCGTGATGTGTGGAAATTACATGACATTCAAACTTCAGTGTTTATAACTGAAGTTTTGAGTTTCATCAGTGAGAAATTTGTGGAAATGTATCTCTTTTGTTATATATAAGTACCTATATAATATCCTTGATTTGTCTCTTGGTCTGTAAAGCCTCAAATATTTACCATCGGCTTCTTATAGAAAAATTTACCAATATCTACACTAAACAACAATTTTTTTTTTTTTTTCTTTTGAGTTGGAGTCTCACTGTGTCGCCCAGACTGGAGCACAGTGGCCGCTCCCGGCCACTGCAGCCTCGACCTGCGGGGCTCCGGCGATCCTTCCGCCTCAGCCTTCCGAGTAGCTGGAACTACAGGCGCGCACTACCACGCCCAGCTAGTTTTTTGATTTATTGTAGAGATGAGGTCTCGCTGCCCAGGCAGGTCTCGAACCCGCGGGCTCAGGCAATCCACTCACCTCAGCTTCCCAAAGGCGCGGGATTACAGGCTGAGCCACCGAGCCCGACTCTGGATATCTTTGCTAGCTGAAAATGTTGCTTTCTTGGCCCTTTACAATTTGGTGACCCCACTCTAATCCTTTCCACCCCCGCAGCCTCCCTTGTACCATTCCTCTTCTGTATTTCCCTCAGCTTTTCTGACTTTCACTTTTACTATGTTAAGCTCCTTTCCAGCCTTTACAAAGGTTTTCTACTCCTGTGAACCCCCATCTATCTGTCTTGGTAATTTTTGTTTTTCTTTTTGATCTCAGTTTAAATGACATTATTACTTCTCTTACTAGTCAATGAAAGGGGCTTACTTACCTGTCTCATAGTATGGTAGCACCTTCTAGTTTTAATTTAATTTTAAAAAATTTTTTTTCTTTTTAAATCAGGAGTCTCACTCTGTCACCCAGGCTAGAATGCAGTGGCACGCTCATGGCCACTGCAGACTCAACCTACTGGGCTCAGGTGATTCTTCTGCCTCAGCCTTCCAAGTAACTGGAACCACAGGCGTGTGCCACCACACCTGGCTAATTTTTTTATTTATTGTATAGATGAGGTCTCGCCATGTTGCTCAGGCTGGTCTTGAACCCCTGAGCTCAGGCAATCCTCTTGCCTCCACCTCCCAAAGTGCTGGAATTACAGGCTTGAGCCACTGCAGCCTGCTAATTTTTAGTAGACAATTGTAATTTTGCAGCTATTTGTGTACTTTTGCAATTTCCTCTATGAGAATGTAAGCTTCCTATGAGCAAGAAGCTCTGCTCTTTTGCTCACTTTTGTATCCCCAGTTGTTTGCATAGACACTCAATAAATATTTGTGGAATGAATGTAAATTATAAAATCATCTTTAATTTTGTGAGGGATGGTGTCATTTATTTTTATAGATGTACCTGTGTGGTCCAAGCTGGAATCTGGTCACCTTCCATCCATGCAACAACTTGTTCAAATTCTTGACAATGAAATGAAGCTCAATGTGCATATGGATTCAATCCCACATCATCGATCATAGCCCCACCTATCAGCACTGAAAGCTCTTTTGTAAGTTGTTTGAAAATTCAATAGCTATGTTTAGGTTTCTGCTAATTCTTCACAAATCAGCAAGTTAATAGAAATTCCATATATTAACCTTGAGTTTTCGATTTAAGATTAAACAGAAGTGTTCTTCATTAAAGTTGGTCAGTGTATTAGTAGAACTTGAACCTGCCAAAATAAGGTTGTGTTAATAATTTTATCTTCAAGATTTAATAATTGGGCCTGTAGCTTTTTTCTTACTCCAAACTTCTAATGGCCAGAGTAGATAGGTTATGCTAGAGTGGATATATACATTTCCTATCTTTACCTTCAAATAGAGTATGCAAATTCTTTGAACATGCTCAAGATAGAAAATAAGCAAATATGTGAACACAGATATTAGTTAACTTTTGCTTAGCAGAGTTCTTTTCTGATCAGTGAGTTGACTTTCTAAAAGAGTTTTTAATGAGTGAATTTTGAAATAAAATATTCTTTTTTCTGTGTTTCTTTCAGACATTAAGGGATTTTTGCAAGAGCAGCGTGACTGACATTATGAAGGCCTGTACTGAAGACAGCAAGCTGTTAGTACAGACCAGATACTTTCTTGGCAGGCTCGTTGTACCTCTTGGAAAACCTCAATGCAAGATAGCTTGTCAGTGCTGGCACATTTTGGAATTCTGCACATTCGTGGAGTGCAATAATACTGTATAGCTTTTTTCCCCTCAAATTCACCCAGTTAATGTTTTTTGTTTTGTTTTGTTTTTTAAAGAAAGGTAGACATTAGTTCTTGTAATTTTTTTTAGTCATATTTGAAAAAAGTAGAAACTTGAGTTATAATTTGATTTTTTTTCAAAGATGTCTGTTAAATCTGTTGTGCTTTTATATGAATTTCTTTTTTTATAGTTTAAAATTGATCTTTTTGGGAATACAGCTGAAGTTCCCAAATACTTTATAAGATTTTATCAGACATCTCTAATTTGGCCATGTTCAATATTGAAGATTGTGAACAGTGCATTATATAAGATTATGGGGGAAATCCTATATCCAGAGTACTCTACAAATTTGTGTGTATGTGTGTATGTGCGTGTGTGATTATCAGAGAACTACTAAAAAACCCAACTGCTTTTTAAATCCTGTTGTGTAGTTCAAGTGTCTTGCCTTGACCAATCTAATGAGTTGATTAACTGGGCCTTTATACTTAATTAAATAAAAAACTAAACAGATGTGAGTTAAATAAAAAAGTTTCAATTTATTGCTCAATGTACCTGTTAACATTATATATAGCAATTTTTTGCCTAAATTTTTGTGTTTGATTTATAGATAATTTAATAAGGGACACACTTTAGATTCACATATAAATAATAGGTTCATTTGCCATTTTTAGGATCATTGAAATTTACTTTATTAAAGAAAGTTAACTTAAACCTCTTTATAACATTGATACTAGGTGAATAGAGGATACCTGTCAAATAATTTAATTTGTTACATCATATATTAGAATTTTATTGTATTGAAGAAACAAAACTTTTAAATTTTTTAAATTTAATTTTAAAATAGTATTTCAGAGTTCTAAAAAAGCAGTTTTTTAAAAACTTAAATTGAAGAAGTCTGTAAGAATAATTTGGCAGAATTAGAACCAGAATGTAGATAGTCATATAGTAGCAATCATCACATATTAGAAGTGCTAGAGCCAAAAGCAGGCCTAGATTTCTTAGTGGAAATAGAGGAATTTAAGGAAAAGTTGCAAAGAACAGGTTGAGTATCTCTTACCCAGGATTCTTGGGGACACAAATGTTTCAGATTTCAAATTTTTTCAAATTTTGAGTATTTGCATTATACTTACCAGTCGGGCATCCCAAATTCAAAATATTCCAGTGAGCATTTCCTCTCAGCGTCATGTTGATGCTCAAAAAGTTTCAGCATTGGGTCTTAGGTGTTATAAGACTCAGCTTTATATAAGACCTAACCTATACTTTGTCACTGAGTATTTGTTCAGTGCATATCAGGTAATGATGATCCTGATTGTGATAACCTCAAGATGGAACATACTATAATCTCCAAATCACAGGAAGTTAGTCTAGTAATTTACTATAGAAAATTATTAAATGGTTGTCCTTTTTATTAAGAGTACAGAAGTGTTATCCTAGGTTCTTCATAGATTGACAAGAGTCAACACAATGTAAGCTGAAAGTTCCTTAGGGTTTTTTATTCAAGTGTAATATCATTTTATCTTTGACTACAGTTTAAAACCTTGTTAATCTGACTGTATACCACTGTAAATCCTCCATCTTCTGCAAGTTGAACATTCTGCTGAATGTGTCTTAGATAGCTGTCTTCAGCTTATGGACATTCCACTAGCAACACAGTTTTAACTTCATGGCGTATACGCATTCAAAACTTGGACCTTGGATGTTCCCATGGATCTGGCAGGTCAAACTATAAAGAACCTGAGATTCAAATCTAACTTTCTCCATGTTGCCTTGGGTTGAATAACTAGTTTTTTGGAAAATAGCTTTAAGTGGCTTAGACACTAAAACTCAACCATTTTGTTGACACCATCTCTATTTTGTTTTATGCTTAGCCATATTTAATTCTTGAACTTAATAGAGTCATGAAAAAATGAGTGGGAAGAATGAATATAAAAATAATAAGAGAAAAGGGAAAGCAAACTATTTAGAATGTAGTTTTTTGCTTGTTCGATTGTGCAGTGGCCAGCCTTCCAAGTAGCTGTAACTATAGGCATGCGCCACCACGCCTAACTTTTTTATTTATTGTAGAGATGAGGTTTTGCCAAGTTGCCTAGGCTGGTCTCAAACCCATGGGCTCAGGCAGTCCTCTCACCTTGTCCTCACAAAGTGCTGGGATTATAGGTGTGAGCCACTGTGCCTGGCCTAGGATGTAGTTTCATTATATTCCTAACATTCCAAAATTTATTAGTTGCTTATAAACTGTTGTGGCTGTGTAGTTTATAAATACCTATGTACTATGCTAGAAGACCACAGAACATGCCAGCAGGATGGCTAATGTTGTGGGGGGTTTTACCACAGTTAACATTGTAGAAGAAATTATTTGGTACATTAATAAAAATATTGGTAAAACATGGCTTTATACCTCAGTGCAATAAGATGTACAAGACAAATATGCTTTCAGAATATAAATGATATTATTTGCTTATGGCACTAACGTGATTAATGATAGGAGTTGATCAGCCTTTACAGCTGTCAAAATACCATGGGATCCCCAGTGATGGTTCTTTCTTACTTTGAATGTTAATTAGTTTGGGACCTTGATTGGCTAGCAAACATTTTATCATTGTCATAATTTAAAGTAATTTAGATTCTTAAGATAACCTACAGAATTTTAAAACATGGTTTGATATTCTAAATCTTTTTTTTTTAATCTCTTGAGAGAAGTAAGTGAGGAATTGTAAAGTTTGGAGCACTGTGAAAATAAACTTTTATTAAGCTGATTGAAAGGCACCCCTACTTTGTGGAATTAAATCTACACTAGAGCACTTTAAGTGGTAACTAGACTTAGGAAATTTTACATTATAAAAGTTGTCATCAAATGGTGGTTTACTTTCTAGTGGCTTCTTTTTTTTTTTTTTAAGCCAGTCAAATTTAGCAGTGGGGGGTTGTACACCAACTTTAGTGACACTAATGTTAATAAGTTCTCATAACCCATTACCATTGGACCAGCCTCTAGTGGCTTCTTAACTTAACCTTTCCTGACCTAACCTTCTTAACTTTTTTTTTAGATTAGAAAATATAGTTTATTTAGAAAGTAAATTAGAGCGAGAGAGAGGATTCACCTCCCCAAAGTAGGGCAGGGAGTCAAAGCTTAGGAAAACAGCTCAAAGAGCACATGGCCAGACCATCACTTAGCAAGGCAATGGCCCTAACCTTCTTAACTTGTGTTCACCATCCACCCTCAGCCTGGCCCTCGAGTCTTGCTACATGTTTATTTAAACTGCTTCTGAAGCCTTATATCACTCAAGCACTTGTGCTTCAGTGCTGCTGAACTGTCAGCAGCTCTATGCTGGAGCATTCCCAAATCTAGAGAGAAACAAAATGAGTCCTTTCCCTCTATTGACTGGTATAGACAATTTAACAATCTCAGAAGCGAGCGAAGAGCAGATCTTTTTGTAAAATTTAGCTGAGTCTTTCCCTTCACGGTCCCTGACTCCTTTTTCACTAGGCTTCAGAAAAGCAAATAAATAGATGCAGCTTCAAGCTGTATTTTGAAGAAAAATATAAACTGGTTTCAGATACAGTGGGAAGCCAGGTCATCCATTCTGTATTAAGACTAAGAGAATGTTATCTGTTACCTGTGTTATGCATGAGCAGTTAAAAAACAGCCAGGGAACTATACAAATACAGCAGCAGTGGTTTTAAAACTTCAGTGTGCTTAAGAATCACTGGGGCAAATTTCTGGATCCCACTCCTAGAGATTCTGACTTGGTTGGCCTGAAATGGTGTTCAGTAATCTGCATTTCAGTCAAGCATCCGTATAATGCTATTACTATCGGTCTGTGGTGCTGAGCAGCTCTATACTACAGCAGAGTGAAAAAGACTCATGACTCAACCTGGTAGCTTCCCTTTTATAGGATGACTTAATAATAACACAAATTCAGTACAATGGGAGCTCAGATAAATAGAATGGAGATTATCTTTCTAAGAAACATTGACTTAATTGTCCCAGTCTTTTACCAGTGCAACATACCCTTTCTTGTTGGATTAGTACTTGAGGTCTTTTTGCATGAATGTTTTAAAGAGAAATATTAAATCTTTAAGTACAATTTAAAGTAACAGGTTTGAATTGCCAGATTTTCTCAGCAAACTAGGCAGTGGCATGCCTAAACTATGCTCATTTTACGGTGACAACTGATCTTGATTTTCACATTAAACAGAATTCTTATAATTCTGAAGAGAAAAAAATACATACTTTTAGCTTTATTAGAGTAATTAATCTCAGTGGAACTCGTACATTGCTAGGGGAACCCTATCTGAACTATTTATCCTCCTCCAAAAGAAAAGGATTTATTAGTTCATGTAACTTGAAAAGTCCAATGTAAAATTGACTTCAGGGATTTCTATAGGATTATCAGAACTCTCCTCTAAACTGGCCACTGTGATACTCAGTATAATTGAGGAAAAGTGTGTGTGGTGTGAAGAGGAAGGAGGATGTGGATAAAAATCCCAAGAAAGTACTTGTCGCATTTCCTATCTTCAAATTCTTTCTCTTTCTCACTTGATGCCCACTCTGATCATTTTGTCATCTGTTAATCCTCTTTTGCCCCAATTGCCCTCCACTCAACCTCCTTGCCATTCAGGATCATAATTTAAGACAAGTCTATGGGTTTGTGGTTATAACCTGCTCAGATCAAGTAAGTACTCAGCTACTTACCTAACCTGATTGTGACTTGTCTAGAATGGATGGAGCCAGCACTTGACTGTATGGTTAAGAAAAAAGTATTAGAGCCTGATGGGCAGGTTGCTGCCAACACTCCCTTGGGCCACTGGCTGTACTCATTTGTTCTGTGTACTAGCAACTCTTAGAGGGAAAAAAATAATTGCAGCACCTTTGTTTATTACTCTTGAGTTGCTAAGAGCCAGTCTGTCTGCAGGAAAGTGTGCTGATGACATTTCTCCTAAACGTTTAAAAAATGAGTTAGAATTTTATCTTTTAATACCCCTTAAACTCTAGGAATACGAAATTATTTTTAAAGATATTAAAATATATATAAGCAGTTATATATATTATAAGCAATAGGTTGTTTGTAGACATGATTCTGGCAAAATTCTGTTTTATAGAGATGTACAGAAATTTGGTGTTGAAATCTTTTCTTTTTCTTTTTTCTTTTTTTTTGGAGTCTCACTGTGTCTCTCAGGCTGGAGTGCAGTAGCACACTCACGATCACCACAGCCTCAACCTGCTGGGCTCAGGCCATCCTTCCATCTCAACCTTCCAAGTAGCTGGAATTACAGGCAAACATCACCATGCCTGGCTAATTTTTTTGTTTAATGTTGAGATGAGGGCTTGCCAAGTTGTCCAGGCTGGTCTCAAACTTGTGAACTCAGGCAATCCTCTCACCTCAGCCTCTCAAAGTGCTGGGATTATAGGCGTGAGCCACTGCGCCTGACCTGAAATCTTGAGTTTTCAAATAAAGACCAAGAGAAGTTATTACGGATCTTGCCCTGTTTATGTAACTTAGGGCAAAAAGGAATTGGGAAAGACAACA